CAAAAGAGTAAAAACATCATTTTACAGTGATATATGCAAAACCATGTTTATAGCAGCTCAAACCATAATATCTGAATCTTGGAGGTGTCCTGTATGTCCACCAGCTGATGCATGGATAAAGAAAATATGGTATTTATACACAATACAGTACCATTTTGCAAAAGGGATACACTTGAGTCATCTTTAAAGAGCAGGTACATAAATTTGCCTAGCTTTTCATTCTAGAAAAACACTGAGTCTTTAAATTGGAAAAGAGTTGATCTTCGAAATATTTTATGGTTTAGGTAGAGGAACAGTTTACTGATCTTCCAAATGTATGCAGGCCCAATTGTACTAATCTCACTCTATGAACAACTGATGCAGATAATCCTTTGCTGCATGTCAGTCCTAGAAGCAGATGGTAGATGAAACAGAGAAATGCTTTATTTTTTCCCTCAGGGATTCTGTTTCTTAAGGTGGAAGTTATATGAAGCTTGATGGGATTTTCTCAATTTGGTTTCAAAATTATATATAATCAGTGTAGATTCTTCCCTATTCATGGCATATGGTAAACCATGACCACTTTTTCTTGTGTGTTTCTGGAGTAAGTGATTATCTTCTTTACTTTTTTTCTTTTCTTTTTTTGAGACAAAATCTTACTATGTTGTTGAGACTGGTTTTGAACTTGCTATGTAGTTCAGACTGGCCTTGAGGTTAAATACATAGAAAACTAAACCAAAAGAGGAAGAAAAGACTTCAGGAAGAACAAAAGATGGCCATGATATATCATAAGTATAAATAACATTTTTATCATATTTTATGTGCACTGAATAGTGATCCAGCTAAATATATGATATAACAGTGGGAGTAGTGGGAGAGGTGGGGATAAGGAGGTATAAGAAAGCATAATGGAGAGTCAGTAGAAAGCTTAAAACTGTTATCAACTAGCAGTAGTATAAGTGTGTCACTTAGTGATGTGATCCTTGATGGGATATAGAAATATGGCTGGCTTTGGACCCACATGGGAGATTGGTACAACACACTTCTGAGTGTGTCTGGTGGGTCATGGGGTGTGACTTTGGGTACTATATCTGGTCCCTGGCCCCTTCCTTTCTGATACTGTCCAGGGGCTTCTTAGACACCGTGAACATTTGCTCTGCTGTGCCCTTCTGCCATGATGTTTGTGTCTTAGAGCCAGGCAGCAGTGACCCGAAAACCTCTGAAACCATGAGCCAAATAAATTTCTTCTCCTTTGTTTCAGGTGTCAGGTATTTTGTCCCAAGGGAACACTGACCAATATTCCCAGCTTACAGTTTTTTTATCAGAGAATTTTGATTCTGTCCTTTTTTTAACCCAAAATTATAATCCTTAACATTATTATTAATTTATTCAGGTAATATTTATTTACATTACATATATTTAAATTTGTTTACCTTTACTTCCTATCTTATAAACCATCATTCTGCAATAATTTTTCATCTTTCTTTGTTCATCATAAGATTATTTAATGAAGGTCTTTGGTAGAGTAGTACCTTAGGTTTTTTTCCTTTTTTAAAAAAATAAAGTTTATTGGTACATTTTAGTAAACAATACAGTTTCATTCATCATTGGGATCTTGGTACCTTGACATGATGTATCTTGGTTTTTATTTTTTCCCCTTTCCTCTGCCCCGCCATCACCCCTTCCATCCTTCTTGTCTTAGGTTTTTAGAAATGCTTTTAATTTGCCTTCATTCTGCTTATATTTCTTTGTGTGTGTGTGTGTGTGTGTGTGTGTGTGTGTGTGTGTGTGTGTGTGTATGTGTTAGGGATTGAACTCAGGACCTTGTGCTTGTGAGGTAGGCACAGTGCCAGTGAGATAAATCCCCCACCCCCTGCTTGTATATTTCTATGTTGATAACCACTTTCTCTTTTTTTTATGGTAAAAGAGATTGAACCCAGGGTCTTTACACTGAGCTACATACATCCCCAGTCCTCTTAATTTTTTTTTTTTTTTTTTGGAAACGTGATTTTTTTTTTTTTTTTTTTT